TCTTTCCAAATTCTTATCACAGGTAAATCGAAAGAACAAATAAGAACTCTTACCTTCTGCTCCAGGATGCTTTAAAACTCCCACAGGTACCATGACAGTGGGAGGCGGAGAGCTCAGGGCACCCGAGGCCTGAGCCTGCTGCAAAGGAGGGATAGTAGAACAGTATTCAGCGGGATTGTTAGGGTTAGGACTCTGACTTGAGGCACTCATCATGTTCTCCCAGGCTTGAGCTAAAGCAAACAAAGGACAAAAAACATGAGCACAGAAGGAGGTACCTAACAGTCCAAAACACTGTGCTAAGTTTGCAGCTACAGCTACAGCGGACCCTGACGCCTTCCAAATACCACTTCTCTTCCTTTATTTAAAAGCCCAAGACACTGTAATTAAAAAACTTCTTTGTCAACAACATTCATCACAGGGAAATCTCCCCTCTAAGTAGTGACACAGACTGTATCTCCACATTACTACTTCTTTCTCATCTGTAGCTGTGCAAGGTACCAGAAAATTCATATGTGTGCTTGTCCGTTCAACCGTACTAGTGTGTTACATACAAATGCATTCCTCTAGTCAGGTGTAAATACCATGCCACTGAAGCTCTCAGAGCACATATAACACCTGAGTACACCATGTACATCTTTGGGTTCCTTTAGCTATGAATTGTCAGAAAAGCAAGGTGAAAATAACAAGACCAAAACACCCAAGCAGAACGCAACAGAACATAAACCCCTCCTGCTTCCTCCCATCAACCTGCAAAACCAAGAGAGTGAAATGCCTGCCAGTGGAAAAGGTACTGACATTTCCATTTGAGAAGATAAATTAAATTGAAGTATTTTTATAACAGCAATTCTTTATTCATTTAGAGTATAAGTCCCGAAAGAATGAAGTGCTAAAAAATGCACAAAGAAAAGTTACATCTCTTGGATCCCTTTAATAGGAAAGCACGGTAAAATAACATTTTAAAAGCCTTCTCCAGATCAAGCAAAGTGCTAACTCAGCATACCTACCAACTGAAAATACAGTAAAAATAGCATGGGACACTTATTAAACACACAGCCTGGCCATGGCAGAGTACCACAAAACTCAGAACCCTCCCCCCACACCCCAGTGAAACACAAACCAGGCACTGAGCAACCAAACGGAACAACTTCTTGTAAAGTGCCATTCCTACCCCCAGTTCCAAGACTCTGCAAACATTCGTGCTCAACCTGCTGCACTGAGTGGAAACAACTCCCTAACTGTACCAACAAAGAAACTGCAAGGGCCAGCAGGGATCAGATACGATCAGGCTATACATTAACTAAGCAGTATCCAAAAGCAGCATCACAAGGCCCTGCAGCAGGGCTAGAAACAGAGAGGCAGCCCGTGGCAAGTACCCTTCAGCACGCAGGCAGCACTCCTCTACAATTAACCAAGCAGTGGTGTCACTGTTTGCTGCCACTGATGTGTATCCATCCTGGCAGCAGGACAGAAAGGCTTTTTGGAATCATTATAATATGATCAATTTTATTATGCCTTTTTACAAGAACACTTCTGGTTTCAACTGAAATATTTTCAGGTTCTTCCCTCAGATGAAAACAGATCCTACTCACCAGCAAAAGGAGCCAGCTGTATGTATAACTCCTTGTTCCTGTACACCTTGAAATGTGCAAATTTCTCCATCTCAAAATGTAACATCTTAGCACCCCTTCAGCATCATCAGCAGGATTCGGTTTTAATTTCTACTTATTACAACCTACAATTTTCTATCACCTTACGCACTGGCCTACAGTAAAGAATTATTAATAATTAAAACTTACCACCGCAGCCTAATTAATCTCTAATCTTTCTGAAACAGAAAAAAGTATTCCTGTTTAATAACAGAACCTGTCTACTAATTTTGAATGCTCATCTTCAGACTAAGCACTCAGTTACTTTCAACCAACCTGCGTATTACTGAACTTCTTTGGAGATAAAATAAAGCTATGAGCTTCTAAGTTTAGTTAGATGCTCAACAAATTGACAGATCATTCTGAAAACCACAGCCCAAATAATCTACTATACAGTAGCATGTAAAGATATCATCAAAAGTACCTTGTCTGAACTCTGACATAAAACATAATTTTCCTAATTCTTGGTAAAAGCTACCACAACAATCTGTTATCGAAGTCTCCAAAGTTTAACTAAACATGTGCAGCAACAGGGATGTCATGATAACTGTTCGATAATTATCAGGATAGGTAGTTATCCTAATGGCTAAAAGCTTGCATTTAGAACCTGAATTTGTCTGACTTCTCCTTCTACCTACCACACGTTAGATTGCGCCTGCCAGACCTTCCTCTGCAGCTGCAGTAACTGCTGCCATCAAGCTTCAGGTATCCAGATATATTTATGTATTTATACTCCAAGAACAAATCATCTATTCACCTTTCCATTAATAAACCAAAGACAGAGTGCCTGAAATTTTTCATGATGAGACAAGTTTTCTCATGATTTAAGCACTCGCGTGGAACCTCTCTCAATCTAATCCAGTTTTTCTGCCTTCTCAATTCAAAATACAAAAACTGAACATCGAGTCTTTCAGCAACAGCTTTCTCCATATCATGGAAATAAGTCAACTGAACAGCATAATCAAAGGTAACTGCCAGCTCGGGAAGCTCTTGAAAGTTTCAGAAGCCTGAAGATTCAGTGGTTAGAATACTCTGTGTCTGCCCGTATTTATACCACGTACCTACAGCGTTAACACTGAACAGGACAAAGTACAGAACAGGTTTCATGGCCCTTTAGTCAGAACCAAACAGTCTTTCCTTACGCCAAGCAGAGGTAACGTAACTTCTTGTTTGTTCCAGTTTTTAACTTCACAACTACTTGTGATCTCTCTCATATGTCCCACGTTCACATCAGGCTTTTAGCCACAGCACCATCCTGAGTTTGACAGACTCTCCAGTACCATGGCCAAAACAATCATCCAAACTCAGTCTGTCCACACTTGCAGACAAGCTTTTAGGCCAGACCACCTACTATAGCACCAAGGAGTTAAAGAGGAAGGAGAGTTTAATTAATCTGTGGATAAATATTACTTTTCCAATTTCTTATAACCTAGAAAAGGCACAACTACATTACTCTTTGGCATCCCATACAAAAGGGTAACAGGTTACCCACTCAGGCATCAAAGGACAGAGAGAAGGCTCCTGAAAACAAAACTAAACAAACCCACCAAAACCCAGTTTCTGCAATCCTGGTAAAGCACCCACAAATGACAGCTTTCAAACTCATCGCAACCTTATCAGTTTTTACCTTTTGCTAATCATATTTAGTTTAGGAAGCCCCACATTCCACAGAGATTCCACGATGATCTCTCAAGGGCCTTTGCTGTCTGAGCATACTTACCCATACAAACAAAGGATTTAGTTTTTTAAATATCATCACTGCAGCTCAACACAAAGCCAGATGCGCCGCATCTCAGATTCTCTTTCCACTTACCATTCATTAGTACCGAATGGCAGATTACACACACTCTAGCTTCCTTTCGATCCATGTACAGCAACTTGCACTTCAGGCTGCAGCACGCTGCACAGAAAACCTGCAACCAAAGGGGAAACAACTTCAGTGTTGTTCAAAAGCAGGTGAAGAACAGACAAATTCAGACAAGAGAATATCTGTAAAGCTCCAGGCATGCAAAACAAGGAGGTAAATTGTCAGTATTTTCCTAGTCACGCCACAGCTGCACAGGGTGCCTTTCCTACTAACCCAGGTGAAGCAGTACTACGTGAAACACAAAAACGCATGTGGTCCTGATACTGCACAGTGGTGCTTTGAAAATGTTTGCCATAAGTGACAGTGGGTTAAGAAATTCTTAACTTCATAATACACTTTATAATCCCTCAGAGAATCACCAGTCTGGAAACTAATTTCAGTCTTAGAAAAAGCATGAGTACTTTTTAGAATCAACTGTGTTTAAACGTACAAATTTTATCTACATAAGAAATTGTTGTGGCACAGATTAATTCAGACAAGACATTTGCAGCAGGGCAATTCATCTATATTGGCAACTCTAGCTTTTTAATCTCTTCATACATAACAAGCTATTCCTCAGCTGAGACTTAAGTGATTATATCAAAATAGTTTAAGTGTTCAACATATAAAATGACATTTTAAAAAGCTGACTGACATTGGAAACGCAAGAAAATCTTGCTCCATTTATGCATTGAAAAAAAAACCCCACTATAAACACTACAGCATCACAACACTAGAGAGAAATCAGGAACTGTGTTTTGGGCACACTGGCTCCTCAGGGGAGACCCAGCGCCAAAGCCCTGAGGGGACAACCTGCTGCAGAGACGCAGCTGCACTGCCAGCGCTTCTCACCTGAACCAGCTCCAACAGTGCCCCCGTCCTGGGCAGGAAGCTCTGGTGAGGCTTCCTCCAGACAAGCAAAACCATAAACCATGAGCATGGCTCGGGCACCAACACAAACACTTGCATGCAGGCATGACTCTACCATAGCAATTGCAATCACAAAACCCTGCAGAACAGACAAGTCAGCGTGCCCTAATGATTTCTTATTTGCTTTAAAGAATAATGTTTTCTCGGTTTAAAAAAAACAACAGCATTTCCTCAGAGTGATTATTCAGGTGACACGTGAAGATACTGACACCCATTTCATGCAGAAAGGTAATGTCACAATCAGGAAATCTAGAAACACCAGCAGCTACCCAACAAACAAGTTCAGCTATCAAGACAGAATTTCAGGTTTCAATTTTAGGTGGCTCTTATACCTACAATTCACTGTGTGTTGTTATGATCTGTAACGCTTTCTTAATCCAAAAGTTATTCCACCAGCACTTCAACAGCAGTACATGTAACATACCTAAGAGACCACATAGGATTCTTTTATATATACATGTTTGTATCTCCGTAAGCCCAACTAAATTACAACAAAGTTAAAGATCACACCAAATTACGACCACTTTGCAGCCTGTTACCCTTGCAGTCTTTTAGTGGCAAGTGTTTAAAATAAGCACTTATAAAATAAGCTTTAAGTTCACCAAGAGAGCTGAAAACGAATGTGAAGAAGGAAGAGCCCACCCTGCCTCATCTCAACCAGTTTTAATGATTACTAATTAGGTCAACATAAACATTTCAGAAACAAAATGTAACTGTGCATGCACTGGAACTTTCATAAAAAATAAAAACAACCCTTCCACATATGTGAAAACCTTTTTAAAACAAAGGGCAAACGTACTTTAAAAATCTGATTTCTGCATTTCCACCTTAACCCAATTTACAAATATTACAGGGAATATTAATAAAGACATCACAGCATATTTTAGAAACATTTGATATAATTTAAGTTCTCTGGGAGAAACTTCCAGCTGGAACTTCAGTACTGAACACGGACAAACCAACGTCTTCAACCACAAATGAAGGACCAACGCAAATTAGTCTCTAATTCAGGACCCTTTATCAAACGACCCACTTTGCATCCAGCAAAGCTCCCAAGTGCCACAATCTAAATATTACAAGAGAAAACAGAATCAGTGACAGAACATGTACACCTCCTCTCTGAGGCTCCTCCAGCCTTTTGACAGCAGTAATGCACAGAAGAACATGATCCAGCACAATTGGTAATTCGGTTTTGTTATCAGCAATCACCCAGTCATTATCTCAGTGTATCACGCTATAAAAAAGGAACAGCAGTGTCAAAGCAAGTTTTTATGTTGCTAGGGCTTTCAGGTTCACTGGGAGTTGTTAAAGCGTTAGTTGCTAGGGGGTTTGGTGATTTTTTTTAATATTTTAGTGGATAAATATAGTCTTGTTTGTCGGTAAAAAGATGACATAGAAATTTTCTGGTTTTCCTATCAAGGGTGATTGTTTAATCTGACAAAAGAAAAATACATAAATACGTAAGGTAAAATTTATGAATGTGTTCACACACATTCTTCAGGTTCTTAATTTTAATTCAAAATTTATGGTAAGTATATTACTTTCTACCATTCCCCTGAGGTTCATATCTTCCATTAATTTTGCAATTATTATTCTGAAATTAAAAACCAAGACAGACTTCCCAGGTGCCACTCAACTATTTTTAAAGGCAATTTTCATTCCCAAACGGAACAGATACATTCACTCCTACCACAGTGATTTGCCATGGTGCTAACAAAGCTTAAAAAGAAACTGTTGTGCTAAAGCTTGCGTTGAAAAATGTTTAATCCCATCTAGAAACAATCCGTGGCAAGGGCTGAAGACACTTATTTCCCCAGCTCTTTCAGTGAGATCCACACATTTAGCAGAACACTGGAAGCATCACTGTGAACCAGCAGCTACCTACGCACAGGCACATGGGCAACGTGACCCGCTCTGGGGATGCTGGTCCCAACCAGAAAGCAAGAGCAGGCAGCTGAGAAGAGCGACGTCTCCAGGCACTACGGCTTCATTCACCAGACCTTGCCCGTCAAAGCCTTTGGGCTCTCTCCTCCCAGAACTGTTACAGGAATCAAGTGTTGTTAAGCAGTTCGCAGTATGTGCTAAGTATTATTTGACCTATATTGGTTCTTGGCATTTATTAATAAGTGCTTTCTTTTAGAGAAACAAAAGCATAATAAGGCATGAAATATCAGAATTTTCTGCCATATCTTTTGACTGCATGTGTGCAAATGTGGCCCAGGCAACATGAGCTAACAAAAGCTTCTAAAAACATGCCATTCTGAGGATGATTCTGACATTCTGAGAAAACCAAATACTAATACGTGATGTGCTTTCCACACCTGAGAAACAAGTTTGTCTAGGAAGCAGACAGACCTTTTATTTTATCCATTCCCCACATATCATCCAAAACAAAGCTGGTTGTTCTTCTCAAGGCTTGTCTTTGGTAGGTTAAAAACAAACCCCCCCACACACACTACATTTTTGGCCTTGCTCTATCTGTGCATGTTTTATCCATTTTGTATACAGATATCTTCATCTTCTTCTTCTCATTTTTGCAATTCAGGACTTCAGTAATTTCCTTCCAGAAACAGGTAAAATACAGGTTTCAGCTTTCCACATACATTTGCTCCTTTTACGTCCTTTGTTCAAGTCATTCTGCTTCCCCGCACCCTTCCAGTAGCTAAAGATCTTGCTCATAGCACTCAATCAGCTTGAGAAACCTCTGTATAGGGCCTGAATGAACCAAAGTTACTTATACTTTCATTTTTCATGGGTTTTAATATGTCTTTTAATCTTAAAAATACTCCTGAACATGTACTTGTCAAGGGTGTTAGTTTACCACTTTTGAATCATCTTTTTACCGAAGTTCCTACTTCCCATATGCCACCTTTTATTTCAGTAATAAGGTATTTGGAAATACTTTACAAGCTAGTGATTTACCATAAACTTGCCACAGAGAATTTGTGTTGACCTAGACAGCACATATATGAAACTTAAAAAAAAAAAGTCAACAATATTTCCTAAACAACAGAAAATGATACAGAAATTATGTTTTTGTCATCTTCATTACAAAATTTCTCGAATGTGTACATACATCAGGTTACAGATAACATACTGTATTCGTGTCCAGGAGCAAATGCATATTCTTTAAAGTAATGCAAGCAATATGAGAAAAGTCAGTAAAGAAGGCTTAAAAGAACAGAGTTGATCAGCCATCTAAACCTTTTTTTTAATGCCAGCAATTCAACAGCACACTTCCAATTCCCACCAATTCCCTGTGTTTCAGTATCATTAATGTGATTATCTGCGCAGGAATTTCTGCAAACTGGTTTCCTGTGCTAAGCCATTTCATAGCAGTTCTACATGAATCAGATGATGATTGTTGCAATCAACAAATACACTGTTCATACAGGCCAATAATTCTTTCAGCTTTATATAACAATCCGTTATTCTCTATTAGAACCCTGGATAGATTAGAGCTTAGAAACCCTTCTTTTCCTTCACAGAGTCAAACACAACTTTTTAGGAAGAGATGTCACACGCACATAGCCAGTGGCTTAGGAAGTTCTCTGATTTGATTTTAAGCAGTTTTAGGGGAAAAAAGGGTGCTTTGAGCTTACTCACAAAATACAAACTTACCTTCCCGCAAGCTCTGCAATGATGCCTTCTTTTGGTGAATGTAAATCTGGCCTCGCATTTCATGCAGTTTGGTGCTTGAGAATCTGGAACCCAAACGGGAGCCACCTCACCCAAAGTCGTGAAAGGCTTTCTGGCTGGAGCTCCAAACTGACCAGCTCGGAGATCGTTGTCCGGACTATCTGGGGCTACTGCAAGGCACGAACTACTAGAGACTCCAGATTCATACTCTTCCAAATGTTCCCCATTAGCGTCATTAACAGAGGAATTTAAAGATGCTTCACCAGGAAACGCGTCTGCTGTACCTTCTAACTGCGTTTTACCAAAGACATTTTTGTTTTTACTATTACCTCCACAATTTGGGGGAACAAGGTCATTTTGTAAGTGGTCCGATAATGGCTTTGGAATCTGCAGTTTAAGATTTGTAGGTTGTTTAGGTCTTGCACCACCAAAAGGAACACTGAGAGATTGCAGATTAGTCACTGGTTTTGGTGAATTTTGCCCTTGCATGGATGAAACCTGACTACAAAGATTATGTAAATAATTTTTCTTTATGTGGTCACCAGCGCTATTTAAAATAAGACTGCTGCCTTCTGTGGTCTCATTTCCTCTCTGTTCATAAACACTGGTGTAACATTCTGACTTGCTCTCCTCTATCTCCTTTTCCTCTGTTACTGAGTCTTCCTTGGAGGGTAAAGTCTTTGGAACATGAGCAACAACTGCATTCTGCATTCCATAGGAATCACAACCATTAGACAGAGAGCTTGCTGCTGATGTAGCCATCACATCAGAGAGACTGGACCCTTCAAGCTCATCTATACCAGTTCCTTTTAGGTCCATGCCTGCCTCCATCATCCCATCTCCACCATCTTTACTATCACTACATGCCTCATCAGGCTGTTTCGTCTGTAAAAGTCTTTCATTCTCTCCCAGAGTTTGGTTATTACTCATCTCGTTCAACTTAGTCAGTTCCCAATTAGTCATCTCCTGAGATTCAGGGTAGCACTCTGCCATGCCGAGCAATTCTGTTGTGCCAAGACTTTTATCACATTCAGTGACTTCGCTTTCAGTGGCACTAATATCCTCAGGGGCAAAATGTTCTGCAACACATTCCTTGTAATTGCCACTTCCAGCCACGTTAGGTTGACAAGTTTCAGCGGGCCCAGATAGCCTAGACTGTAACTGTTGGGGTGTTTCCTGTTCTACGATTAAGCTTCCATTACTTGAACCAGAAGAAGAGTTTTTAGCTTCTAGATCTGTTCTTTGAGGAATGGCTTTACTAGTAAAATTTTCAACTGATACACAATTTTCTTGTATTTTAACAGTACCATCAACTGGTCTCTGTAGGAGAGTCACTGCATTAATCCCTGCAGTTGTAGCTTCTGAAAACAGCGAATCTTTACTCATATTACAATCATCCTTTAATCGAGAGGAGGGGCACGCAACAGTCAGGCTTTCAGATGAAGCATTAACCAAATGACTTACAGAGTCATCTTCGGTGCACAGCCGATTTACCTGCTTTTCTGTGTCAATATCTTTTTCCATGGATCCATTGACAGTAACACTAAACTGATCACTCTGTCGGTTTTCGTTATCCAGTGTAAAGCTGATAGTGTCCATGAGGGACTGACTATTGTAGTTTTTACAATCCAGCAAACTGCCACTTTGCAGTGTTCTTCTGTCACAGTTATGCATGACTGCCACCACTAGCACGTTTTTCTCCTCTGGCAAGCAAGCTCTGTTTCCACATCTCTTGTCTCCTGTTTCCACAGCGTTACACTGATCATTAGTAGTTCTTTTAATCAACTGATCGTCTGCTGCCGCCTGATCATCAAACCACATGACTGGGGTCTCTGGGCTTATGCTGAATTCCTTTCCATTAGCACAGTGATCCTCTCCTCCTGTCGGTGTGGTCACTGAGTGAGACAAGGAGAAAGACTTTAATCTCTGCTGACATTCATTAGGAGTTGTAGCTTCATTCACATTGGCCACGGTCGGGTTGAATGACAGACGACGAGGAGGCGGATCTAGAATCTGATTCCACTTTGCACCCAGTAGTGTAGGTGAAACAGCGGCATCTGAAAGAGCGTTCAAATAAGAGAACTTACTGTTCCATTAACACTGCAGGTCCCATTAATTCTGTTGCATTAGAATGCCCCAAACATAACTGTAGAGATATTCAAATACAGGTAACAACAGTGAAACACATCTGCCATAAAACATCCCTGGTCAACCATTAGTAGTGTAACTGAACAACGTCTCTGGAACTCAAGAATTTTACAGCTACACCAATTAGTAGGAGGTTGAATTTGCGACTTTAAACTATTGATTAATTCACTTTAGACAGAAATGCCTAGAAAGATTCCCACTCCCATAAAATGTTTAACTTCCCTGACAGCACAGAAGTACCAATTAGACTAAGCAAAAAAATTAATACTTCAAATACGATAACTTTCAGTATATGATTCATATGACCCAATAAAACATTTCTATGCTTGAGTGTCCCAAAACTGCAATAGAAGCTTAAAATAAACTTTGCTTAATTTGTTTAAATTAAATTATCAAATATTGCCACTGAGATTAAGCGCCACAGAACCTTTCTTTAAAAAGCGTGTGGAAGATTTTCTATGAAAAGAGTGACACATTTTAAAAACACAAACAACATGAGCAGAAACAGAACACTATTAGCAAATACTGAAGACACACTATGCAAAATTAACAGATATTTTTTGCAAATTCTGAGATTTAATTTGCTACTCAAAACCAAAAAGGGTATCAGATCTCTCCCTTTTCGATGGCGTTCTCTGCAGAATACATCTCACGTGCACCTAAAATCTTGTTCAAAATGACTCACCTTCGTTTTGCTCAAATTCATCTAAAACCTTGTCAAGGTTATATGCCTCTGCTTGGAAATAGTTCTCCATTTGTCAGGAAAGACCACCAGATTCTCGTCTGAACCTGCCAGGGAACAAATTACAAACAGGTATTTAACCTTCAGTCAGCAGTGTTCCACTTCATATTGCCCTGACTTAAGGGAAAAAGAAGTCCTTTGTAAATAAAATTTTACATGTATTACATGCATAGATAAAAAATATTTTCCAGGAATTAAAAAGTACTTGTGTGCTCAAACTTGCTTAATTCCTATTAACAACCTCCCCAGATTTGCTTTGGATTTTATTACCTCCAGTAAAGATGACAGCATTCGCAAACACTTGCAAAATAATGTTTTTTAAAATCCTGCCACATCCAAATAAAAAAGTAAATGTCGTGATGTGAATGAGGTGCCGGCATCTGAGGGACACGGGTTCATTGGTATATGCTGGCCATCACAGCAACATAAAATACTCTCATCAGACTAATAAAAAAATAGTAAGCACATTGAGTTTGCAAATCCAGGTCAGTTCAAAGGAGAATGTGTTCCACATCACAGAACTTCTAAAACAATATGCACATCTGACCCTGTGCTTAATTCAGTGCATTTTCCATTTAGTGTGGCAGATCTTTTTGATACGCCAAAATAAAAGGAAATTCTTTTCAGGACTTGGGAGAAAGGCATATACAGACAGAAAGTCAAACTGAACTGTGCACTTTAGAAATCCCCTAACTGCTTAGAAACTTCTCTTGAGGGCAACGTAACATAAATGAAAGTCATGTCGCTCCTTCTCACGCAGCGTTTGCTTACAATTTGTAAAATGCAACCTATATAAGGAAACAACTTTTCTCCTATCTCAAGCTTTTATTTTATTCCATATCAGTGCAATTCTCATTATTATTTAGATGGCTGCAATTTTTTTCCACCACTATAAAGAGGGAGAGAGGGAAGAGGAAGAATGATCACAGCACTGCCCTGTAACAGGTGAGCAAAGACACGTCCAACAGTAAAGCAGAACACCAAACCCAGCCGCATGCTTTTCCCTCACAGCTCATTACCAACACCTCTCGAAGCATTTGAAGGCACTGCCTCAACTTCTGACATTCAAGGAAACCGCTGACCTCTGCCTGAACATTTAATCAGAACTGTCACCAACGCCAGCAATCGCCTTTCATCAGAACCTAAATGATGATGACACCACGTCATGACAATGGCACTGCCACATTAATGTGTTTAACCATCAGGTTCTCATAATGGTAAGAGCAAAACTACTCCAACACCAGTCAGAAAATAACTCTAGAGAATCAGAAAGCCAACTGACAGAGAAAGCAGATCCTGCTTTCAGTCCCGTGTTACCACTGATCAGCTCATGTGGCTTTGAACAAGTACTTTAAACGCTCTGTGCTTCTGGTTTTTTAATGTATACTAGGCCAGCGGTGTCACTCCTCGTTTCCCAGAGATGCTTCAAAGATTCATACTTGTAGAAGTTGTTAAAGGACTTAATGGGTGTTACTTGAATTGCGCTAGGTCATAAAATGCCTGCTTTAATAATCCTTGTTTCCCTGAAAGGCAGGCACTGGAAATCTAGCAAAATGCACAGAAGTAAATAGTCTCATCAAAAGATAATTCTCTCAGGCTAGGAAGGAAGATGACAAGGCAGAAAAAACAAAACAAAACAAAAAGTCACACACAAACCAAAAAAAAAAACTAAGCAAAACAAACAACCCTAAGTCATTAGTAACTTTCGACAACTTCACATAATAAATAACATTTGACCCTAACAGTAGGAATATGATCTTGCTACCAAAGGTTTGTAGCAACAAGACACCCTGATTCATTTTTAAAAAACACTCACTACCAGCAAAGACTTTTTCACCGAGAAGTGTGCGCCATAACCCATACACCATCAAGAGAGACCTTGACTTGATCTGTTTTCTGAACATCATCCAAACCAGCCTTATCCTCCTCGGAGCTGGCTTTCAACACTGTGAAATAAGGAAATGAAGGAGGAGAGGGTGAGAACCTTGTTTAGCAGGAAGAAACAGTGTCAGACCCGACAGCTAGACTCCAGCTCAATTAAAAAGCTGCTCTTTCACACTAGCGGTACAACAGACACGAGGCACGTCAGAGGAAGTTTCCAATTTAGAACTATTCTTTACTTTGACATTACCCTCACAGTATCTGGATTTGAGAAAAACATCGACCGGTTTTATTTCAATTACTGCAATACTAAAGACAGCTTTGTGTTCACTGTGGCACCAGCTATGATCAGGTTATGGGTACAAAAAGATGATGCATTAAAATACCACAAAATGCAAAGTTCAAGTTTTTAAGCCAATTACAAAGAAAATTAGTGAAAAGGCAACTTAGAAATTGCAATAAGCACCACCCAAAACAAGACTATTTTGCAAAGAAACTCAGGGATAAACTAGACTTGTCACCTTACAAAGTCACAGATTTGTCCTCTGTTCTGGGATTTTAGACTAACTCCTTCTGCAAGGAAAACAGACGACTGGCCCCATCACTGACTGTACACAGATGCACACATTACAACATCAACAACGGAGAAGCTGGCCACCTTGACCAAAGCTTGCGTTTCAGAAGTCTAAAAAGGATCAGCACTTCACATCTTCTACCAAAAACCGGGCTCTGACCTCTAACTGTGACAGAGTGTACTCTCGGATCCCTTAAATACACACTGCTGAAAGGTCTTCCAAAATTATCCCATCTGCTCACCAAAATACAGCCTGATGGATGCTCACAGTAAACTGAAGAGAGGAAAGACCTTTTTATATCATTATTGTTATTTCACTTACTTACAGACCAGGATATGCGAAGAATCTCTTATTTTTAAACTCGTGATCACTAAGCTGACAGCCACTCTAAATGAAATACCATTCTCTATGCAAGTAGGTATTTCTTAGAAAAGGTCAGCTGCAAACCTTCAGGTCTGATCTCTGAAATTATTATTATTATATAAAGGAACACAGCAGCACTGCTCCCAGCTTTTCCAGCAGTTTCTGTCCAAGGGCAAAACACACTGCCAAACCCACAGAGTCCTTACTGCCCTCCTCCTGACAGGAAAGAAGGATGAGTTCTCGTGTTCCCAACAGACACCCGCAATGCTTCTTGACCAATACGTTGTCAGCAACTCATATTTTTGCCAGTTTAAGATCTAATACTTCCACTTTGCACGGCCAGCAACTCAAGACCAAACCAGAAAACACAAAATGCTCTAACACAGCATGCTGTAGTAATCGGGTGGCTGTTTTCTCCATGGGTTACAATTTAATTTTACTGTGAGTATTTTTATGAAATATCCAACATAAATCAAAACACGTATATTCCTATGCAGGTCTTTGGAAACTCTGATAGCAACTCACAGGTGCCACTATAGAAGTTTGGAACCGTTTTAGAATTATCCTAATCCCAAACTTCCTCCTACTATAAAGGCTGCAATGACATTTTTTAAGGATCCTTGATAGTTGTGAAGCTCTTTAGTACTGCTCCACTATTCCAAGCCATGGCATGGAGAGAAGCTGATGAGCAAACACACAACTTAAACTCTGGAAAAGTGAGAACAAAAACATGAGCAAATCAGGAAGAAATTTCAATGGCAATTGTAGCTGTATGCTGCCAAAAAGGAGACGCTTCCTAAATTAGTATATATTGGAATGAACAACATGAAGAAGAGGCTATTGTGCCAGCGCAAGGAAAAGGAGCCATAAAACACCAATTCAGTGAAAAGCAAAAGTTTTGGGGTTTTTTTTAAATGCAGTCCCTCATGCAAAGATTCGGCATAAAAGACGAATTATAGGCAAAAAAGCCCCTAAAATTAAATAGCCAATTTTTTTTTTTAGTTTTGTATTTTAAAAACCCCACAATGGCTACGATCCACTGCACAGTAAGTCTGGAACCCAAGATCCCTTGTTACCCATTGCAGAGTCATCTCCTGTCTTTCATGGCAAAAAGCTACTGAAAGCCTGCAGCCTGTCAGTCACATTATTTTCAAGTGCCTGTTGGATCACAGATAACGCATAATTCAGAAACTCTGTGTTTTACTTATCAATTTCTTCATACAACAGCATGGATTTATCATCACCCTTATCTTCAAAACTTAACAACTTATGTTTTACCAAGCTTACATGCTCTACTCTCTCCTAATGCCTAAGTATAAAGGTGCATGTGGGAGAATGTCAGTCGTATGTATCCAGAATTACTATCCTCATCCTCATGGCATTTAGATGTAAGATAAATGTGAATTGATTAGCGGGGAGGGAAGGAGACAGAAGTAAAGGACAGAAAAACCCTCCTTAAAATTAATGGCATTCTGAACAGGCTTAACCTTGGAGACTGCCTCTCTGGACAGCTCAAATATCCCACATGCCAGCTTCTTTCTGGAAATGGACTGTGCAAAGAGACAGGCCTCGTGTTATACCTGCAAAGCCGCCAGACTCGTATTTGTTCTGGTCTCTCCGATAAGGAATGATGTAACCCATGATCTTCTGCACTGCGTGGCTTAAATTACCCTCATGAAGTTTTCACCACTGGAACTGACAGTCTTAAGTCTTTCAAATCTTCTTGGCTCTAACCATGGGTAACCAGCACACAATCACATTAAACAATACAATAACAAATGCACCAAAAGGAAATACTACCAACATACAACTACAAACCTCATAGCAAAGGCCTAAACACCAGAGAGTACGTAAAGAACTGGAATAAGATCTCAGGACTTTCTATCATGCTGTCCTGTATGGACTACTCTTTCAATATGAAACTGTGAACATACACATTTCAGCCAACTCTAACCAAACAAAATAGTCAAGCAGTTTATTGCAGTCCTCACTAAAAACATACATGAAAGACTTCTAAGATGAAAGTCACAAGGGACAGGATCAAACTGAAATAAAACATTGCTCGTTCATCCTGACAAAAATCAGACGTCCAGAAAATGTCATTTCCCCTAGCATGACAACACAGAAATACGTATCAACTGGACAAATTAATTTATTAGACCTAGTGCTCCTGAGGACTTCCTCCAGTCCAAGA